TTTTACAATGTTTTGCAAATTCCGTATTTGGGAGGGGGGGGGGCGAGAGGAGGGACCACGCAGCCACAGGGCTTTTTAGGGAGGGGAAGGGGTGCAGACTCGATCGAAATCCACGACTAATGGTGTGCCCTGCGCTCTCTCTTCGCCGAGATAGTGTCCAATGTGAGACTCCTTCGAGATTACTTCCATGTAAAACATGAGTCCAGTAAACTCATATGGTGGTATTCTAAAAAGAAGAGATCCCTAACAAGGAAAAAGAGCGAAAAGAAGACCAGGGGATCGAGATTTTTGCCTGCACCACGGACAAAAGCAACTCTGGCGTCGGTGACTCATTCCATTGTGATGATACTTTCAAATGTCTTGGATGCTGAATGAACCTAGAAGTACCCCGGCACTCTAATAGCGCCCTATCAAATTGAACGATTAGCAGCACAAGCCTTGTTTTACGACAAACTTTACAGTGGTTACATGAACTTGACCTTTCTTTTCGAAACTGATCCTTTCGAAATTCATCAATTTCCCGCTTGAAGTGTACTGGGAATCTTTTATGGGCTCTTTCGAACAATATCTCGGTGAGAAGGGCACAGAAAAGCGCCCACCGCGTGTTCCCCCCTTCCCCCGAACACGTTAGAGATTTGGTGCCGTGTACGGAAAAGACGCTGCGATTGCAAGGAGTGTGAGATAGATTTGCCAAGCCTAGTAACGACACTTCCGACAATGACGGGATGACCCCTTCGTCAGACGTTTTAGTGAAATCATGGGATTCTAGTGCGCTGAAAGAAAGTGTGTTAATGGTGAAGGTTGTGGTTTCCCATCAAGATTATTTAAGCAGAAAAAGCGCATCCGGGCTATGAGGTCGGGGACTGCAGGTACTCAAGGTCGTGGCTTAGACGTCGAGGTCTCACTATTCAAGAGCAGAGGATAATAGCTTTAGAATAATTGCAACAAGCCGACAAAGAGGTCTTATTGACATAAAAAGCTCCTCGTGAATGAGTGTTATGTCTCAACTAGAGGCCCGAAATGGTGGCGGCTGGGCGCCATTTCGGCGAAAATCTCCCCATTTCGACGCCAGCTCAGCCACATAAATGCTGCTGTTATTGATATTCTCTGCACTAAGGACGACTAAAAAAGCTATGTTTCGACATTTTCCACCTTTGCGCCGATGCATTCCTCTAAAATCTTAAGTGCTTTGCCATAAAGGTCTCCCGGTACTTCGCATCCATGGCTGTAGTCAGAGGACGTTCCACCACTGAAGAAATCTTGCAAAATACGGAAAAAAATGCCGTCGAGTAAGGAGCAGGGCACATGATTGGTTGGGGATTTTGGTCGAGTATATACCACCTCCCCCCAACTTTCCTTTCTCATTCTACCTACCCTCTTCTCAGGTCAGATTTCCCCAACTTCTTACCACTTTTTCCGGAAATTCCCAAAAATTTTCCTACTTTTACCTGAAAATTTTGCTGTCAAGCAGGGCGGAGGGTACAAGTGAAATACGACCTCCCCCTCATCCAGTGACCAACTACAACCCCCGTTTCGGGGATACCCCAACCACGATGTGCCTTGGTGGGGAAGTGGTAGGCTGTATAGCGTGCGTGAAGCAGAAAAAAAATCCGGAAAAGTCCAGAACCAGCTTTGTGTGCATCCTTCATTGCAAGTTTTGCCGCACAGCATTTCTTCAGGGGATCCATTTCCTCTTCTTTTAAGCATATTCCTGCTATACCCAAGCCGAATTATCGTACACTTTGCCTTCAACGATGTTGACACCTCAATTCACCCGCTGTGAGATTCATTCGGAACAGTGCAAAATCAATAAATCAGAACAATCGTCTCACCAAACCACTATGAAATTACAGAAAACCATGAAGATCAATATAATTAATATGAGAAAACAAAAGAGATGGAGACAAGCTGAGCGTCTTTCAAACTGACGAATGATTCAGTGTCAGATATTTGGCGACCATTTTTTCTATGGACATATCTTCCAAACAGCACATCAGGTCCAAAACGATATGGTCTGACTTTTTCGAAATGCCACCATACCTGAACGAGCTTATGATCTGTATCTTTAAATAGAAGATGAATTCTCCGAGTTGGAAGGAATGTGGAATCTATTCAACCGTGATAGGAATGGATGCGGAATGGCGGCAAACCGCCTGTGTGGTGGGCCAGTTACGCCATACGTTCCTGCCTGTCTGCTAGACGGATACTCAGTGAAGTAGAAACAATCCAGGGCAGCCCCATTCTTTCAGGTGGGTGGGTTCTGGCGCCGCACCAGACCGTTTCTCTCGTTTTTTTTCGGCTGGGGACAAGACTGTACCATATCATTTGTATCAGTCGTTCACCGATTGATGTCGCATGCCCGCTTCAATAACTGGTGGAGAACGGGTTGGCAAAACTCCAAACCCAGCCTTACTAAACGCCAAATTATCCGCAGAGAACAAGACTATTCTTCCCGCCCTAGTCGAGCATTTATATATGTTTCGTGACAAAAATAATAAAATTCAGCCTGGAAACCCCTTTGGCAGACTATGCGGACTACTGACAGAATTTGCCGAATTTATCGCTCTTGTAACTGCGCCATATGTTCGGTTGTTCGGTCCAGCACTTGTCAGCCCGCAACTGTTGAGCGTGCTGAAAGCGTGCTAATACACACGTTGGCGGTAAATAGGCAGCCTCCCTCCGACGCCGCTCCTTGTTTGCTAGCACCCCATACCCCGATGATGGAAACGGCAGAGCTGCTTACTTCATTTAAACGAGGCATGTGTT